ATCGGCCGAAACTGTGTGGTCGCCAGTCGTTCGCTGCTGCTAAAGGAGCCACCACAGGTGCCATTGCCGCCGGCACTAGAACGCTGTATGGGCAGCCGTTCGGGCGGAAATATGCGACACAGCAGCGGCGGATTGTTACTGGCATAGCGACCCATGGATCGCGCCAGACCAAACAGAAGCGGTACCGTTGCATTGCACAGCACAAGGGGCGGTGGTGTCGAGTTGCTGTCTTTGCTGGGCTTGACAATGTTCGCGAGCGTGCCCAGCGTTTCGACCTGATTAAGTATGATCTCCTCACGCGAATCCGGACATTTGGCTGCTATGTCTGATAGCAGTGTGTTTAGGCAGAAGCTGAACTTCTCTGCCGCGGGTATGCGCACACCTGGGAATAATCAATGGATGGACACCAGTTGATGCAGTTTATTTTCTGAAAGGCATTGTCTACACTTACGCTCTACTTTGCTATTGCGTTCATCATGTATTCTTGCCTTGGGCAGGCTCTTGGCCAACCGCAGCAGATAGGGCACAATCTGTGATTCATGCTGGCAGCCGCCTTCCAGGAAGTAGATGCCCAATGCAATGACAGCATCCTGTGCTCTTGAATCCAAACAAAATACGCCTGATGCATTCTCCTGCGGGCAGTAGCGGAAGAGTGTTTGCACCTGTGGCGGCAATACGCATATATACAGGATATTAAAGGTGAGTAGCGGATACGCTGCGATAAGCAGCAGCAGCAACAACAACAATAACAACAACAAAAACATATATATCTGTTTCTCTCCCCAACCACCCTCCCATTTGGGCATCGACGTCACTACACGCATGTCTGTTGCGTCCAAGGTCAACGTTAGTTGCGCGAAAATTCGATTTTCAATTTGCGTCCACTGTCCCGCCCCCGCCCCCCACTTCTTTCCCTAAGCAGACACCAACAACACACACCACTCAACCATAACACACCCCCTGCACACCGACCTTGTCCCATGGCGTGGGCTGAATTCCTGCCAGTACGCGCGCCAAGCAAAGCACAGTCCGCTGATACGTATACTTGTCCGAGGCGGTCATCTTTACGCCTCTGTCAAATGTGAGATGGCCTCCGACTCGGCGACTGCAGAACGTCTACGTGACGGTCTGGGGAGGCGGAGCCGCGACTGTAAGTCGCCCGGTGGCGTAAATGCACGTAAATTGGTATGGGTGGAAGCGCGCGCCCGGGTTGCACACTTTGTTTTGTTAATGATTTATTTAATTTGTTTAAATATTGCTCATTAAACGTTCGTCATCGTCAATCGTTCGTAATTTATATTGTTTTGCTATCGAAAGTATCGAGTACTGTGCGCTACTATCGAGAGTACCAAGTACTGAACGCTGCCAACTGTTGTCCAACGATTCGTTTCTGCTTAAAGTATCGACTTGTCAACGCTGTATGTAAATTAACAGCAATCGAGGCTCCACACCTGTAGAAACTGCTCCACACGCAACCTTCGAAGCAAGGCTTAAACAAATAGATGTTAATGTAAATGTTAAAAACAATGCAAGCGATTTGTTATTGTTTCTGTCGCAGCCCGCAGCCTAGCATACAATACTAATTTATTATTTTAATTTAATTAGGTTTAATGGTAATGCTTTAATTAAAAGTGCGTTTGCTTAACATTTAAATGTTGAGCTACAATTCTCAGTTCTACAATTGTTCCGTTAATACCACAAGGCTAAGGCAGGTGTTACGCAAAGCTCCTGCAACCTTTGACTACTTACGAAAGCCAGATGATTGGGGCCAACTTTCGAGCTAAGAACTGCTAGAGGGACTCGACTTGAAAACAAATATACCTTCATTCCTGAGACAGAAAAAATCCCAATGTCCGCAAATAACGAAGGCCTCCGAGTCTGTAATCATTCCACTCGCAACCTGCCTACACAGAAAAGGGGGTCGATTCCCAGCTAGATAGATCTTTATCTATTTGATGTTGACACTTTCCTTGTTGAGCCACCACTGGGATCGTTTCTGCACAGGGATATTTCCTCTCATTCCTTCTATGCGGAACGAATCAGCAAATGATCTTCTGTGCTCGATGATCACTCCGCGCTCGAGTGGGCCTGGTTTTGGGTGATGCAAAGAGACGAATTAGATCTCTTCTTCAGGGAAACTCACTCTCAGACCTGAAGAAGACCTGGAGGACCTAGGGAAGATCTATCAATGACTGCATGATATATATCTCCATCGAGAAAAATTATGCGTCTGATATACGAGACTATATATATTCTAAATTTCAAGCCTCCAGCTGGATGTTAAATTTGGGAGGCATTCCAAGTGCTGATATACTCTAGATCGAATCGAGAGCTTTGCTTCAAAGCCTTGATTTACAATCGAGATTATGGAAATGTCCTGATTCCGAATATGCTATTTATACTTTAGGGAGTTGGACATGCTTTCCTTTTACTATTTTCTTTTCGCTTGAACAATTGAACAACCAACAATTTTAGCCTAATCCAAAATACATTATATTTATTAATAACTTCTCACATATTTTCTTTTATTACTTTTTTTTTTTTGGAAAATTTCCTCTTTATATGCTATGTGCAGACAATGGATCTCTAGCTAAAGATACATGTATGCAAACAAAATGAACATTCATCTTTCGAAAAACGCAAGAAATAAAAAATAAAAATGCTTATTTAATGTCTATTTATAATTGGTTGCTTTTGCTCTCGCCCTGGGATCTTCAACAAACGAAGACAATTATGCGGCGTGGCACAAAGTTAGGCCCGTCTTGGAGTATGTACTTGCAGCAGTGGCAGTTCGAATCGAAAAGAATTAAAATAAAAAAAAAAACAATTTACTAAAGTTTAGAAATATTTTAAACTTGAACAGCACGATATCTGGCTGTCATCTCTGTGTAGTTGTGAGCTAAACACTAACAATCTCTACATTGTCAATCGCATTTGACCGAAAAAAAAAAAAAATAATAAAGGTATTAATCGTAATATTAGACTGCAAGCAAATGTTGGATGTTCTTGTATGATTGGATGTTGTGTGTGTGAGTGGGCTGTTTGGTGCAGCTGGACAGGCTACGCAGTCTTTAGTCGTCACCCGCGGAGCGCTTCACCTTGCGCTGTTTGGGGCTTTGTTGGCTGGCTTTGGGACTGGCCTGTTTGCCTGGCTTGGGCGATGTTTTTGGCGTTTTTGATTTTGGCGGCGATTTTTCTGTTGAATGCAAACAATTGTTAGAATCAAACTGTGCCATCTGTTGCAGCATAATACTTACGCAGCGCACGCAGTGTCTCCTGAGGTACCCAGTCGTAATCAATGTTGCTGTCGTTGGCGGTGCCGGTCTCGATCACCTTTTTGGCGGCGGCACGCTTGCGCTTGCCAGAGCTGCCCAGCAGATACTGTTGTCCAATGACCAGCAGCAGGACAACAATGCCCGCCAGCAGTACATACAGGAAGAATGTCTCGCCATCCAAGCCCTCGTCCACCTCAGAAATCAGCACAGTTTCATTGAAGACAGCCTCGTTGTACTGGATGCCGTTGGCGTCACGGTACGCCAGAGCAATATTTAGGCCAAAGGGACGGCCAGCAAACTGATCAGATGGCAGGAACGTGTATGAGACAGTTGATTCAAAGCCAGGCTTCACCTCACGGTTGTACGCCACGGCAGAGAAGTTCTGAATGAAGTAGTTGAAGTCCATGGGATAACGGAAGGAGGCCTCCACAGACTCGATTACGAATTCCTCCTGACCTTTGTTGGTAAAGCCAATCAAGAACTCGACGGGCTTGCCTCCGGGCAAATCCAGCTGTTGGCCAGCAGTATGCAATGGCTTTGTAAACAGCAGATAGGTGTCTGCGTTGGGTGAGGTACTGCTGCTCCCGCTGTCAGACTCCTCATCCGCTTCAGCATCCTCGCCCGTTACAGCGCCCTCTTCGCTATCCACATCAACTAGATCATCTTCGACAGCCTCGGCCGCATAGGCACCGAATTTGTTTGCTGCAACACCAAAAACATAACACGAATGAGACCGAGACCAATGTATGCAAGCATTGTGTATTTGCCAACTCAACACTTTTCTCTCGCTCTCAGCAGCAACAGCAAAGCCGCTGGCAATGTGGAGGTCAGGATGAAAATGACAACATGCACATTTGACAAAATAGCCACCCAAAGGCTTTGGCTGCCCCCTTTACTCCGTCAACTAATCACAGACATTGGCCACAGGCACTGCCACGTAGCCGCTGCTGCTGTCGGCGAATACAACAAAAGCAACAACAGTTGCTGTGATTTGGTTGGCTGCAATACTTACGCGCGCTGAAGGTGCAAATAATGGTGGGCAGTACCAGTAACAGAAAGAACATAAGGTTCTTCATTTTGTTGGATTTAATGTCTTTCGCTAATGGTTTCGAGTGCACGAAAAATAAAGACAGCAACGGAAACGTACCGATAGGCAACTGGCAGCCAACGCGTATGAGCGAAACTAACCGAATGGGGGACCAGCAACAATGCGTGTAGCCGACGTAACACGATTTCTGCCGACTTTCACTTGTCAAATGTCTACGTGGTGCCGCGTCAGTTGACAGCTTAGAGTTGTCAGGGGCTGTCACAAAGTGCAGTCAGGCAATAAATTTGAATCAGTAGCAGGTTTAACAAATCACATTATTAATACAACTTTTATTCACACATTTAAATAACCTATAATATTAAGTTAAGTGCTTAAATTTTCGATAAGTATATATCTTTATGTGGTAGTCTGGCAATACTGGTTATTATCAGTGTTGTTATTGAGTGTGAAGCTGTCAAATATTCAATTTATTTATTTGTAAATTATTAAAGAAAATTGACTTTTCAACTCAGTTGCCTAATTTTAATCAAAAAATTAAATGCTATATTTATAGCTCAGTAAGTGGCCGAATGCAAATATATAACATTTTACAATTCGCTCAGAGCAGTCCACAACACTATTTCTCAAAGCAACACTGTGCCTAGCGCAGCCACCTTAACGTCGCTGAAACAATAATCAGCCAACTTCCTTTTTGCTTGCGTCTGTCAATTGAAACGCAACTCGCACGTGAATTCTCTACGAAAAAGCTCACTGAAAATACACAAAAAACATGGACAAACCAGTTGTTTGGGCTCGCGTCATGAAGGTTCTTGGCCGTACCGGCTCCCAAGGCCAGTGTACACAAGTCAAAGTGGAGTTCCTTGGAGAACAGAACCGTCAAATCATCCGCAACGTTAAGGGACCTGTGCGTGAGGGAGACATTCTGACCCTTCTCGAATCTGAACGTGAAGCAAGACGTCTGCGCTAGGAGCGTAACTCGCTTGGGATTGGTTTAGAATGTGAGTAATTGGCTGTTGACTGAAATCTATTTAAAATTCAATAAATCTTACTTTTGCGCTTTCAGGTGTTGTTTTGCACTTGGCAATTTCTTGCAAGAGGATGATATAAAAACCATAAACATACAGAAAGAATAACACAACACCAAATTAAAAATGTTTTAATAAATTTCAAGTATTGCAGTGCTTAAAACAACAATTCAAAGAAAGTTGTATTGATTTTTTTTTTTTTTTTGTTTTTGTTTTGTGTTTTTGTGATCAGTGACCTGTGATTGGGTCAAGCGGTAGCTACTGAAAATGCTAAAGGTAATCCAGACAGAATTGGCAACAAAAACTCATTTATTGCAGATGACAGCCTTAAACAAATAAATCGCTTTTGTTTCTTAATAAATTATTTGGTGTATTTGGATGAAGCCCATCAGGTTGCCAAACTCAAAGGCAATAGTTCTGGTCGGCGCAGGGCTTCTGCTAACCCCAGGACAATTTTAGCCTTGTAATGCGTTGTAAGCTCCAAATCTTGTGTGAACTGTTTGATTGCTGAGCTCTGCACCAGCGTAGGCAGAAGGGAACGTGAATCCAGCTGCAAAAATTTGGTTTGCGTTTGCAGCACACTAAGCGCTTGTGCTAGCCAAGAGCTCCATTCGGTAAGTGTACATCGTTTCAGTTCTACCGCCGGTCCTAGCTCTGCTGTCAGAGCCTGGCATTCTCGCTCAAAATCTGCCACAACGATAGCAACCTCAGCCACAGTTTTCTGCTGCTGGTCTCTGCGAATATTGACAATTATTTTAACTTCATTCTGGGGTAATGTTCATACAAAACTAACATGAACTGGTAAATGGGTCGATAAGCGTCATGGCAAGCTGAGAGCAGTGTAGCGGCAGCCGCTTCGTTGATTCTGTGGGAATGTTCTGGCAATTAATACGGGATACGTACATACATACATGCATGTGCATGTATGCAAATGCCTTGTGTGTCGTTACCCAGAGACTAAACGTTGTCGTTGACTGAGCTCCCAAATGCGGTTCGCTTGAACATTGAGCTGTGGTGCTTGGCAGCTTAATGCGTCGTAGTAGGTGCGAATGAGAGCTGTTGCGCTCTGCAATAAATCGCTCAGTTGTGTTTTGTAGTATTTGTAGCGTTGGGGCTCCAGCGGCATATTTATTTGTTATTGACAAATTTCGCGTGGTTTTACTTAAACATCTGGCAACGCTGCCACTAGAAAGATGCCACTATAAGTTATCGATATGTGGCGTTGCGATATTTTTCAATTGTTCTCACTGAATAGCATTTTTGGTATTCGTTACGAAATGTTAAATGGTTCACCACAAGCGCAATAAGATTTCTATTTGATTTAGATTTTAAGAAATAGTATATGACGCAATAAGCTCAAATATTCTAAGAAAATAATTTATTTTCCCAACTTTCGTATTAAATGTTCGGATATTGCTTGTCCAATAGCTGTTGGAAATTTAAGCAAATGTGAATTGTGAGAACGTTGTGTTTGATAAATCAAAATATATCGATATTAAATATCGAAACGCATGGCTTAAAAGCCAGCAAGCAGCTGATACGCAGCAAAACAAGTAAAAATTAATTGAAGCCGTTTGCGACGAATTGTTTTAAAATATTTTTGCTGAAAATTAAAGCCTTAAAATGACTACTGCGGCGCGCCCCACATTTGATCCAGCGCGCGGTGGCTCTGGACGCGGCGAAAAAGACTTGAGTGCACTCAGCAAACAGTATTCGAGTCGCGACTTGCCCGGACACACTAAACTTAAATACAGGTATGTACACACATATATATATATAAATATTCGTATATTTCAATATACTTGTAGAGAAACTGGCCAAGGAACTAGCGAAGAGACTCGCAATCGTGACTTCCGCAAAGAACTCGAGGAGCGCGAGCGTGACATACGCTCTGGCAACAGCTCGGGTAAGGCACTGCCCTCGATTGTGCGAAAGGCTATTGAGGCAAACAATGCCAGCGGGAGCAGTACAAACAAGCGGGCCAAACTGGAAAGTCTGTCGCAGCAGCAGCTTCATCAACAACAACAGCAACAACAGCATGCGGCCAATCTCGATGCAGATGAGCCGCTGGACAATGATAGCTCGGACTCGGACAGCGATTCGGACAATGATGATGCAGCCCTGCTAGCCGAATTGCAAAAAATCAAACAGGAGCGCTTGCAAGAGACGGCACGTCGTGAAGCTGAAAAGAAACAAGAGGACGAACGCATACGCATGGAAAACATTCTGTCGGGCAATCCACTAATCAACTATGAGCCCGGAACAGCGGTTTCAGCTGCCGGACGCACCTCTGGCAATGGCGGCGATTTAAAAATTAAGCGTCGTTGGGATGACGATGTTGTGTTTAAGAACTGCGCTCGCTCGGCACCTGAAAAGAAGACTCACTTTGTCAACGACGCATTGCGTTCGGATTTCCACAAAAAGTTTATGGACAAGTATATTAAGTAGATAAGCCTGACCAAGATCTTTGTAAGCACAAGCAATACATTTGTAACAGTCTATTATGCAGCTCCATTTTTTAATATTGTATTTGCCTGAAATTAATAAATTCATCTTGGATAACTATCTTTAACGTTGCATGTAAGATGCGGCGCTGCTGGTTTGACCTATTGCCTGGCGGCGGCAACCACTTGAGTGCGAAGGGCATGGAACCTTAACCAAAGTGTGAAACCGCAAAAAACGTCAGTAGCAGCAGCACCAGCAGCAGCACCAGCAGCAGCAGCAGCAGCAGAATTAGCAGCAAAAGCAGCAGCATTAAAATGGCAATGCCCAAAGAAGCTACGAAGTGAAGCAAGGGGCACTGGCTACGTGTGCATATGAAGCGACAGCAACATGATGAGCTTGCCAGGGCAAGGGCAATTGTCGCTGCTGATGAGGCACGAAGCAAAATCAATTTGCCAAAGGAGCAGGCAGAAAGCACATAATAACTTGGCCAATTACGCGCCAGTTCGGTGGCGACGGAGCCAGCAACTGTTGATGGGCTTGAGCTAAGGCCCATGCAAATCATCAGCTGCAGCCTGCAGTATTGCACAATATCAACGCCTCTTAATGCCCCGCACGCGGCCTGCAGGCTGAACTTCGGCTTTGACAATCAGCACACGTTCCTGGCCTGGGCCGGGGCCACCTTCTTGCCGTCTGAACGCGACCCGGTGGCTCCCAAAGTTGCCGAACGCTCAATTTTACGCTAATTCGATCAAAATCAAACAAAATTAGCCCAGCCAACTTCACAATGATCATAATGATGACACTGGTGAACAACGACAATGCCAAATTCCAGGTCTTAACGCCAATACGAACATATTCAAACATCAGCTGAACAATTCAAAAGGAGTTAACATTTTTGGCCCATTTCGAAATTCGATGTTTCCAACATGGTTTTCCAAGCGCACCAAACCAGTTTGTGGACCAAACCAAATGGCCAGATACACAGACAGACGTACATACATATATACATATATACATATATATATAGTTAGGTTTTGAAACTTTGTTCACCGCTGTAATCATAATGATTTGCATTCATGCTGATCATTCTGCAGCAGCAGGAGCAGAGGAAAATGCTGCTGATTGTTGTGTTATTATGCTGCCTGCTTCTGTCTGCGCAGAATGGCTGGGTTAGGGTCAGGCCCGGATCCAGGCCCATAGATGCCGACTGTCAGTTCAGTGAGTCGGTTCAGCAATATCAAGAGCAAGCAAGAATTATTTATTTCCTGTTTTGCATTATGTTTCCCATTATTTGTGCATCCATCAGACGGAGGCAATCTGCAATGCACTTTTCGGTAGTCGCCCGCCGCGCCCTAAATTATGGCCATTGACCAAACTGAACAGCCCATGGCCCCTGCTGCCATGGCCTATCAATTGGCAGAGATTTTACAACTGTGTTACTTGCAAAAAATGGCGACTGGCCAGCGGAAATGGCCGTCGTGGTCACAAGTGACAAACATCCAGCGGTTAAAGGGCCAGCGCACGTCTGACCACCAAATAAAGACCACGAACATATGTTTCTGGCTTTATGAAGCATCCCAAGCTGCCCAGCTCCCAATCCGCCCACGCCACATCTACCATTACCCGGCTCGGATTCGACTCACACAGCAAGTTGGGTTTGGCAAACAATTTTGAAAACTGTATCAGAAATCGGTTGTTCGAAGAGTTTGTATACGAGAATATTTATATATTTGTGTAGTTACGTTTCTTCTTGAATCAATATCGAATAACACCAAATTCTGTTTTTACTAATTGACGTACGGTTCCGTATCTCTTAAACTATTCAACGGATTTTGGCCACGAATAGTTACCTTTCGATTTTACCTTATCCTATTAAATGCATGCACATTAATTTATTTAATAAAATACACTTGGATACTCTTAGTAGAGCTAAACGCACTATCATTGTGAATACCCTTTCTCTGCATATACCCTAGAAGTTAAACAAGCTAGTAACTATAGTCCGTAGCCTCTCCTTTGGTAGAGATCAGATGGTAGAAAAGATAAATCGTGCTATTATAAGAAAATCTTGTGGAAAAAAAAACGGGTTAAACAAATAATAAACCATAATAAACTTGATTTGCCTATGGTATACCAAAGTCTATTTGGTACCCAAAAAAGGCTGCCTCTAGCAGGGCCGCAAGCCCAATAAAAAAATGGCAAGTGGTTCGCTTCATGGCTCGAAACAACTCCCCGTGTGTCCCTGTGCCAAATATGGTAACATAATTACAATTGTTTGGTTCCAAGCAATTTTCAATGTTTCAATAGTTGGTTTATAGGGTGTATAGGGTATCTCGCAGTCAGTCACAACCGAATAGAGCATTTTTTTTTGGTTATTTTTTCGTCACTGATTTCAATACAACTCAAAATCAATATGTGTGTGGAGCTCATTAAGTGTATATAAATTTCTGACTTTTCTACACTACGAGAAATCGCAAGTGACTTTTATAAAGTGACTCAAATATAAAAGTCACTGACTTATTTATATTGAAAACTTTTTGAATAAATTTCAACAATAACTACTAATTTTAAAGTGTTCAATTTTACAAACATACTTCAGAGTAAAGTGCTCAAAATTAAAGACTTAAATTAACTAAAGAATAAATCAAATGCAAACGTGTCTTTCACGACATTTTACTATATTCTTAGAATGGGATAAGTTTCCAGAAAACGTGTATGAAAACAATAAGCAAGTTTGCTTGCTTCACTTAGTTATCGATCAGTTAACCAAAAGCGATCGATAAGTTAACAATAAGCTATCGATAACTTAACAAAAAGCTATCGATAAGTAAACGATTAAATGCATCTAAGTATTTGTAGAGCTGAAATTTGGCCCGGTCAGGGATTCCAAACTTAGCTACACTGACACACACACACACACACGCACACAAGGGTTGATACTTTAAAATTGTATAAAATGCAAATTTCACTCAGTTGTTGCTGCTGTGTTGCATTTTTGCTGGCGGGCACCGTGGACGCCGCACGGCTAAGCGGGTGGGAGTGGTGGAATTGTTGGTGGGGGTTATGTGGGCTAAGGCTAGGCCGGGAGCAAACTGACAGCTTGACTACTGGTGCAACTGATGCTGCATAATTTAGTTGACCAATTTACACTGGCAACCGTTTGCCGCTGAGTGCAACCGGAAACACATGCACCGCTGGCCGAATGGCTTGTGGGTGTTGTGGGTGGTGGGTGTTATTTATATATATATATATATATATTTTTTTTTTGTATCCCTGTATTCTCCTCATGTCTGTTGTTGTTAATGCCTCTGAAGCCTTTAATACCATACACACCTCAAAAGTTGGGTATACCCAGTTGGTGTTAAGTTCGTAACAGATCTAAATATGTTTATTCTCCAAAAACTTTCGACTTTTTTTTTATTGATTATATCTTAGCTAATATAAGATATTAATTTCAAGCCACCAATTTTGATTAATTCTCACCTGCGACGCTGTCCACAAGGATTTTATTTTGCACAGCGCTTTTCTTCGCCTAGAAATACATATGATGTGTAAGGATATATACGCGTAATCGATTTTTATACAGTGTGCTCTATGCACAAATTAAAACTGTATATATTTTCCAATTTGTAAATCTTTAGCTTTAAAAGTGGACAAACTAGACAATGCGCAAAACCAATACACTCAGTTATTCACTGCGAACAGAGTATTTTTTGCTTATATGCGATAGGGTTATTTATAC